ACCATCATACACTGAACCTTGATTCCTGGCTTCCCGAACTGAGAAACTTAAAAATTGCATTTCATCAGAAGGAGAATGGAATGAGGGAGCAAAAAAGCATATCGAGCAAACTGTTCATGCTCATCACACATACTTGCCTCCTAAGAGTCTACTTGAACTTACTTTGCACTGCATCTCTAAACCTGTTGTATGAAACAATGGGGGTACTAAAAATAACACCATGCAGAATCACCGTACGCACAGTTAGCTGTGAAAAAAATGCCCAACTGGGTGTGGCAAATATTCTCAGGCTGGTATTTAGAAAAGATATAGCGCATTCTGAACAAGTCACAAGACATCAAAATTGTTTGGCAGATTGATGGGCTATCTCACTTCTATAGAACTAGTTATTTAATAAAAGTGCTTTGAGGAAAAATATCTATGCCACTTAGGAACATAAGGACATCAGAGAAGCCAATGTTGGATCAGGCCAATGGTGCATCCAGTCCAACACCCTGTCACACAGTGGCCAAAAATACCAGGTGCCACCAGGAGGTCTACCAGTGGGGCCAGGACACTAGAAGCCCTCCCACTGTTGCCCCCCCCCAAGCTCCAAGAATACAGAGCATCAGTTGCCCCAGACTGAGAGTCCCTATCTATACCTTGTGGCTAATAGCCACTGATGGACCTCTGCTCCATATGTTTATCCAGTTCCCTCTTGAAGCCGTCCATGCTTATAGCTGCCACCACCTCCTGTGGCAGTACGTTCCATGTGTTAATTGCTCTTTGGTGAAGGAGGACTTCCTTTTATCCGTTCTAACCCGACCCCTCAGCAATTTCATGGAGTGCCCATGAGTTCTTGTATTGTGAGAAAGGGAGAAAAGGACTTCTCTCTCTACCTGCTCTATCCCATGCATAATCTTATAAACCTCGATCATGTCACCCCTCATCCGTCGTTTCTCCAAGCTAAAGAGCCCCAAGCGCTTTAACCTTTCTTCACTGGAGTACTTTTTATCATTCTATTTGCCTTTTTCTGCATTTTTCCCAAATGCTATAATATCCTTTTTGAGTTGTGGTGACCAGAATTGCACACAGCATTCCAAATGAGGTTGCACCATCGATTTATACAGGGGCATTATGATTCTGGCTGATTTGTTCTCAGTTCCCTTCCTAATAATCCCCAGCATAGCATTGGCCTTTTTTATTGCAGTTGCACACTGTCTCGCAGCTCGGTTATCTACTACGACTCCAAGATCTGTCTCTTGGTTACTAACAGTTTGGACCCCATAAATGTGTATTTATAGTTAGGATTTTTGGCCCCAATGTGCATCACTTTGCACTTGGCCACATTGAACCCCATTTGCCACGTTGACGCCCACTCACCCATCCTCGACCCATCCCTTTGGAGTGCCTCATAGTC